AAGTCCATGTTGTATCAGAATGTTGTCGCTACGTTGTCGATGTCAAGAGTGTCAACATTCTCTCAATGTTGATAGCTAATGTTGCAATGACATTCGTAGAAGTGTCGCAGCAACATTCCAAGTGAAAACATTGAAGCAATGTTTTCTCAATGTTGTACAACAACTTGCAACATAGAGCAACATAGGCAACATTTCGGAAACGTTTCATCAACATGCTGTGTTACTTGGGTTGGGTCTGTGGGGATGTACCTTAAAAATAGAAAATTTCCTAAAATATGTATCTCAAGAATTGCAGGATTACCAAATATCAATTATCCACTCCACTTCGAAGCTTCTTGCAGCTAAAATGTCTTCAGTAGAAAATCCCCTGAAGAAAATGTCCTTCGGGATAAACCTCACAACTTGAAAAGTTAATTATATTAGTATCGAGAGAAGGACTTGCGTACCAAATTTCAGTTTTCAATAATTACGTTTTCAAAGCGGCAAAAACTTATTTGAAGTACGTCCCCGTCGATATACATGCCATGAGGGAACGTAATCGTTAAAGCGTCTTCCTAGGATATGGTGGCTTGTGTTCCACTGGGCATGTCTAAAACCATGGTTTTGACATGCCCAGTCTGTCAGCAAGCTGCTCACATGTCCGCCGTCTGTCTTCTCAATGGCTTTACGAACACAAGCCACCATATCCTCAGAGGATATGGTGGCTTGGATATGGATAGAGTTTTGACTGGACGACCAGAGCGACTTGCATCAGGTGTTGACGCGCAACCCTGCTTAAACTGACGGTACCAAAGTCGGACAGTTTTGATAGATGGCGCCCAGTCTCCTAGAGCCGAAGTGAGCAGCTCGTGGATTTCGGGGCAAGATTTTTCCGGTAGCACGTAGAATTTCATGATTGCCCTGACGTCATCCCGACTGAAAGATTGTTGTAAAAACGAACGGTCAAAAGTAGAAATGATTCAACTCCAGCAATAATCGCCGTTAGGATAGCTGATAAATATTTGACACATGGAAAGATGTAACAATGAGTCACAGATAAAAGTTTGAACATTTCAATCTCAAATTTTTACAAGGTAACAATACAGCAAGAGAAGAAAATAAACTTTTGGAATGACCCACGTATAGGTAACTTAATGAGTATTATTATATGAGTCTATGGGGAAAAAGCCTCATCTTTATACCCATAAAATGGGGGTCTTTTGGGTTATATTATAGGTAACTCTATGGGTACAGGTTTTCCAGTGTGTTTTTGGTGATCATTAATTCAATGTTCACCGAAAACTTCAAATAAATATGCGAACTGAAGCATGCGAGAAGACCCATGGTTGGATCGACAGTGTGGTCCCGGATAACGAAGAGCAAAATAAATATATAACGATTACAACCCAATCATCAGCAGCCTCACTCCAGCTGAGCTTGCTCCCCATAAATTTATCTTTAGAGCGTGGTATAATCGCCATGGCCA